TATCGAGTAGAACACGTAAAGGAACTAGATTATAAACAGAATATTCAGGCAATAATTTATTTTAAAAACATCAATTCTTAAACATATACAACACAACCACACGTTAATCACCACTACCGAAGTATAACTAGGCCAGCCAAAGCGACGGATGTCGGAATAAAACGAAGGATTTTAAATGATTGTACCAGTAATGGCGATTTCGAATTTAAAGTTGACCCAACAAATTTATTCTGAAGAGACAAACGGCGCGCATACGCATAACCGTAATCGCGTCCCTTTAAAGCCATTCTCGTCCCCAGAGCCACTCGGCTTAATTTGTAACCGACCAGTGGCTCTGGACGCAACGGAAAATACGAATTTTTTCATTGGCTGAAGGCAATTGAATGCGCAAAGCAAATAAAAATATAATCTACTGCGCATAACATTTTACTTCGTGCCCTCTCGACCTGCAAACATAAAATCTGTGTCTGAGTTTCGTTGATTGCGACAATCCTGTTTTGTTTATATGCAATAGCAGTGAAAAAGAGAATTGCAGGTAAAGTTTGAGAAGTTTCTTCGAAGATAACGAGCCTTGACAAAGAAAGTATTGCCTTCATTGTGCGCTAAACTTTTTCCCCTGTCTTGACCGTCGCATCTCCTGGGAAACTGAAAGGAGGAGTAATGGTTAGTTAGCTCTTCCTGTTGCTCCTTGCTCGTTAAAAATCAAGCGATTGATACTTTACTTGTATGTCGTTATTGATTAGCCTAATCCGTTTTTCTAATTCCTCGTCGGTGCTACAGTAGGGAAGGAAATCAAGCTCCGACTAAAAAAGAAGTGATATGTACGTTAAGTTTATTGCAGTGTGCTTTTATTTTATTGTATTTTCTGCTGAAAGAATATCTCCTTTGCTATACTGAGGTCAAGATAATATTTTGTTATATGCCTTTATTTCATTAGACCACTCCATGATGGCAGTGCACAAAGCCAGAACTGAATTGCTTATGAATCATTTTGGGCTGCATGCAAACGGCAATTTTTTAATTGTGTAAAGATGATAATCTATGTTTTCTTCCACTTAATTAATGCTTAAATCATGCTTAGATAATTCGGAGGCCTTCTTTTAATTTTTATTTTAACTGTAAGAATTGGGCTGTGAAAGGAAAAGCTATGTGGCCGACTTATTACAAATGTTTTGCAAGACGATATTCTCATCCTAACAGTCCTTGCTTGGCTTTCAGTCGTGTGGCATTTAGACAAAGATAAACAAGGGGCTCTGGGGTTATTTATAACTGATGAACAGTTGACAAAGAAGCAGCTTTTGCACAATTTTTCTTGATAAATAATTATGTTATCTGATCACTACATAGGGTAGCACAATGTTCTCAACTTTTTTGGTTTAACAATTCTATAATACAAGAAAACTTAACTGTTTATAATTAGGCATACATTATGTGAAAACTGGTCTAGATGTTTTGACGATGTTAGGGACAACTGAGGCGTTAATAAATAAAATGATAAATGAACAACAGCCTAGAGTAGTCTATTTTGCATCATACTGGGGTAAGTGGTTGTTGATAATAATAATTGGATTTTGCAGTATGTCACCTTTGATAGGGAAGATAACATTATAGCTTGATCAACAGTAATATCATAGTTTACTCGTCAGTCCTTGCTACACCTGCTCTCCACCTCTCCTTGAGCTTGCACAGCATTGGCTTACTGAAGCATAGGGCATCTTAGTGTACTTGGTTATATAATGATGAGACAAATTAAAACTTGCTTCCACTGGTCAATGATTCGGTTCTGGTTAAACCTTTTTCCTAGGTTAAAAGGTTAAAGGTTAAAGGCTTGTTTATAGTGGAAATTGCACTTAGCTAGTCAGCTAATTTACAGGCACTCCACTCAAATATTTAGAAACAAATAATTCAAATACAACATAACAGGATTAAAAACACCAACTGGCAGAAGGCAACCAGTTGGCTATTTACAAGCGTGGCCGAGAATTTGAACTCGGGACGACCAAGCACAAATCCAGCAAGTGGCCAGAGCGGGACTCGAACCCGGGACCGCCGGATTGCGAGTCCGACGCGCTGACCACTCGGCCACGCTGCCTTCTATAAAAGTTGGAGGCCTCATGTTACAACACATAACAATGAGTTTTATGGGAACTAAAAAACTGTACATTGTCAAAACTGTGAGCAGATATTGTACTTTAACGCTATAAAGCACCACATTCAGTTTCAATACAACTGCAGAGGGTGGGGATTGGGGGTGGGGTACTATGCTCCAAAAATCAGTTCAGATTCACCCCGCAGTATGCTTCTTCCCTTGCCAGATTCTGACCAAACTATGTGATTTTCACTACGCTATTTCAGGCCTGATCCAAAATTCTATCCCCAATTTCAAACCTTGCAGGTCTTGCACTCCAATCTCAAAACATGATGACAGCAGCTACCCAAGAAAATGCTTTTGGGTTGTGTGTCATTCAAAGTGTACTTCTTCACGGGGGGATCTCTTGAAGCATACAGTCTATATACAGTGTATATATCACTCTACATTTTACTGTTGTTACAGATAAGAAAGTACAGCTATATAGCTTATGATAACCCGTTCAAGGAGTTCAGATGGTGAGAAGTAGAGCATTAAAAAAAGCCGGTTTTTTTAGTTTTGTTCTCTTTGCACCTTCCCCAATACCTGAATGTCCGGCACAGTCTACGATAAACTACTGCTTTTAAGCCTCCTCCCCCAACTTATAATCCCCCCAGTTATAGGCCCATTTACCAGTGAACAAGAAAAAATGTCCCCCTGGTTGTAAGCCTTCCCCTAAGAAATTAACCCTAAAAACCCCTTACAAAGATGTGTAACCCATGAGCTCATAAGTGGTGCTTAAACTGGTTTCTCTCTGGATGCATTGGCATAATTATCATCACTTCCTACTAAACTAGCGTCCTGGGAAACACTTTTTATTAGTAACTGGTAATCAAGATACATATAACTGCTTATACCCCTACAACAGAGGTGACAAGAGCTCACCGATACTGTGAAAGTTACAAAACCATGGATACCACAAATATTAAGGAGTGCTATTGCATTGCAAAGAAAAAGTTAATAAGGGGTGACAAAACAAAACCTCAAACAGCAATGGTAATTACTTTGTGGTTTTGAGGTTTGGTCACTGAACATACTGGTGATTGGTCGCTACACAATCAACATTTTTCAGGTATTAATGATTTTCTGAGTCTGATAGCAAAATTATTGAAAACTCTCTCTTTGAGGTACTGATGATGATTTTTAGTTTAGGAGATGACACCTGAAATCTTTAGGAGGATAAACTTTAGCAGAACACTGAATGGCCCCCATAAACACCAAATGACTCAGAAGTTTTATGATTAGGGTTAGGAAACTGGGGTTCAAGATTCAGTTAGGGTTGATATACAGAGAGAACCGAACTGGAATTTGATTCACTCAGTACGTACTCTATAAAGTTGCCATTCATGGAAGCCCGTGGAGATGTATTAGACTGTCACTTCTCCTGGACAAACCTTGTAATATACGTTTTTTACCCTGGGTCGGTAAAATGATTAATATTGATTTGTTTCGACGTAAATCCTTCCGTTGTCTAACACGTGTTGTACACAAAAGCTCATGGGCAAAATTAAAACCACAACATGTGACACCACAAAAGGAAATAAGCATAGGAAAAAACACAACCAGCTCGAGTGAAATGAAATATATATCTTACTCTCCCAACACAACAAATGAATGGTTTCGTTTTAAAAAGCGTTTTGAAGTAAGATAGCAGTTGCAGGAGATGGAACAAGATACCTTTTTAGACTGACTTTTTCCCGCATTATATCGATCTTCGCGATATTGCTCTCCCAGTGTTTTTTCGCCAAACGTATTGGAAAAAAAACTCATAACTCAGACGATAGTCTGCCGATTAATTGTCTCAGTTCTGCAAACCAACAGTGTGTTCAGCCGGTTTCTGTTACTGTCTTCTTCTTTTAACTCCAAATTATCAGTGAATCCAAGTTGAGTGAAGTGGTGCATTTTCAAAACATTCCAAAGAAGCCACTCTCTGGAGAGAGCTCAGGAAGTAAAATTTTTCCCCCAGTGGAGCGGTGAGGGACAAAAATCCGTTATGAGCACGAGCAGTGATATTTGTAAATTCTACACATTCGCGACCGGATGTCAGAAATTTTATAACATCCGGTAACGGCTGCTTCCAGAGCCCCTCGTTTCCCGACCACGTGACCAAGAAACGACGGGCTCTGGGTACGAGAATGCTTTAAAGCTAGTAAGATCCCCTATCTCGCATGTTTGATTTGACAGTTGGTTCCAAGCCACTGCACCCCGATAAGAAAATGACCGCTTAAGAAAATTTGTTTTAGGTAGTGGTAGCTGGAGATCATAGTTAGAACCTCTCAAATTATTGTAATGAATTTCAGAGGTTTTATGAAACCGCTCCCGAAGGTACGTCGGACAATTATTTTTATTGAATTCTTTAAACATGGCAACTAATAAGAGCCTTTTTCTTCTTTCTTCTAAGTTTGAACATTCTAGAGAATTTACTACATCTGGTGATCTGATAGAGTAATCAGCCCGAGTGATAATCCGTGCTGCTCTATTTTGGCACTTCTGCAATTTCTCAACACGTGTTTTGGAGCAGTCACCCCATACAACATCACAATAGTCAAAGTAGGGCTGGACAAGTGAATAGTAAATAGTTTTAGGAGTCTCTTGATTGTCGGTTCGTTTTCTAGCTAAATACAGCGTTCGCAAGCCATTAGAGACTTTGGATGAAATATGTTTGATCTGATTATCCCGGGTTAGCATTTCATCAATATGAACCCCCAATAACTTAGTAGAAGGTTTAAGTTCAATAGGTTTATTATCCAATTCTAGATTCATGAACTTGGCATTTGCCAAATTCTGCTGAGAGCCAACTGTCATATAACTAGTTTTAGAAGTATTGCAACTTAATTTGTTTGTTTTAAGCCAATTATGTACTGAAGTTAAGTCACTGAATAAAAGAACATTCAATTGTGGATATATCTTCATGAGATGTAGTTATATATGTATCATCGGCAAACATACCAGGTGTTGTATGCCGTAGACATTTGGGAAAATCGTTTATATAAATTATGAACAATAGATGGCTTTCACAGTGACGTCACCAAATTGTAAAGTCAAAATAGCGAGGTTTTAGGAATTCTTATTTACACTAGGTTAAAGATAAAAGTAAATCTTTGTACAAGTTTCCATTCCCTTAACATGTTTCATTTCGAAAATAGAGCAATTTGAACTTCCGAGTTTTCTCACCACCAAAATGGAAATGCTGTCTCGTTGAAAAAAACTCCCTCCTCTTGATTTTCAGCAGCATAACCATTTCAAGTATTAGAAGATATGGTTATTCGCACGTATGCTAGTTCTTGAGTGAAAAAGAAAGAGCTATTATAGAAATAGTGAACTTCACATGTTTTTGTTGATTTTGTTGATTGTGCACCAATATGGCGTCTCCATACAAAGCTCTATAAAGGTGCTTGAAACGTTTTGGCAAATGACTCAGAGACTGTGGGCCACAAAGACCTGAGACTGGGACAAATTGTTTATGTATTAGTCTTTTATAGCATTTCAT